AAGATTAGCACACTTTTAAAGCTCACAACATATGTTTATTACATTACTTTTATGTTCAAAAGCATAAATGTATAAAACATGCCCCAGGACAGATGAAAACAGTTGCTGCACTTTCTTTTTAAACATATGCTGGTATTGAGTTGATTTCTTTTTCTACAGGGAAGCTGAAAAATTGTGTAATTTCTACGGGTTTTGTATGAGATGAATGAAGGATGACAGAGGCAGAAAACTATTATGTTTGAATTCTAGGGTGGGAGAGAAGTCGTGTTCACATCTGCCCACTTATAGTACATACTGTAGCACAGTAAGGTGATCTCACAAACATCAGCCAGTCTAGTGTAATGCAATATTACTGCACAATCATCAATATGAACATAAATCTGAACAGACTATTTCTTGCGGTCATACAGTTGGATGCTAACCAGCAGACGACTATATAGCCTAAGTATCAGTATAGTGTACTTTCCGTGGCCTGTAAATATTGAATAACTGATATACTGTGTGAAATATTTGTACTGATATATTTAAACAAAGACATTCTCATCCTCCATATACCCTGTTGAAAAAAACAGCATATGCTGGTTAGGTATGTTTTGACGCTGGGATGCTGGTTTAAGCTGGTCCTTTGCTGGTTTATGCTGGTCCTTTTGCTGGTTTGTGCTGGTCCTTTGCTGGTTTATGGCTGGTCTAAAGGACCAGCACATTCACATTCTAAGGACATTCTATTATGCTCCAAAATCAACACCAGACCAAACAAAGCTGAAACATGTTATTAGCCTTTAGAATTAGCATTATCCTAACATTTAAAACTTTGAAGAAACCAGAATTGGAAATTTGAATGTTAGTTTTAAGGTATTGCTAATTAAAAATAGCCATTTAAAATGTAGTCTTTGGAAAACCAATCAAAATACTGATGACTCATCCTGCACTCATGGGCCTGTCCATATTTTTGTCCGATAAAATGCTGTCTGGAATGAATTTGAAACTTCACACCACCTGACATTGACTAGAAGTAACAAATTATGGTCGACTACAGTACATAAAGGATATTTGCTATTGGCTAAAACATCCCAGCCTATAACACAAAATATATATATATATACAATGCATCTGTGATGATGTCGGTCAATGAATGTGTTTGAATACACAATCTTAAACCTTGGAGGAAAAAGTTTTAGTCATGTAGCGCCGATTTAGAAAGCCAACTTTCATTAAAAGCCCATCTGGTCAGCTGTGAATTACCCCGTTAAGGGTTTACATGCAAAACTGACAAAGCAAAGGTTTTTTGTGCTCGATGTCAAAATGTAATAACAGACCTTTCATGACCTGAGAAATAAACGGCATTCAGTTTTACACAACCTTGCAATCTGTTGGCTTATTAAGCATAATCAGAGTTAGCCTGTGCATGTAAATGCACTCATTATTAGCAATTTTCTTTCCATTTTTGACATTGGTCAATATTGGAAGATGAAAAAACAAGGTCTAATATTTTCTAAAACAGTGTAGGCTACTTTTCATCTATATCAGGCTGCAAAAACAGTTTTTTATAGCTTTATAATGTGTTTTTTATAACAGATAAAAGTACAAATTAATAACACTGGCCATAATGTAAAAATAATTATCTCCTAATCTTTATCAGCCAGAATTTATACATTTATACATAAATGCATCACTAAGTGCAACAGCAATGGTTTATAAAAAGAGTTAACAAAATTTTTTGGAAATGAAACAAAATAAATAAATAAAAATCAAGCCCACTCGCATGTAAATGTATTGCTAGAAACAACCTGGCCATATTTCAAGCTTTCAGGCATGAGCCAAGCATGAGTAATCAGCAGTTCCTATTGGACCGCGGTACTTGTGGATGAGAGGCTAAATATGAAGAGTTTGGCACTACTGGAATCATGAAGCAGCTCCAAGCAAATTAACACAGAGCTCTGCTGAAAATGTTGCCTTAAATGCTTGTTACCTTGAAGTCAGTCTGAAACAGCATTCCAAAATGTTTTTATCTTCACAACATGATATATTTCCAAGGGAAACTATGCATTCAATTACAAAACAATGTACGTTTGTACATTTTATTTATTATTTAGATTTTTTTTTTGTTAATCCACCAAGAACTTAAGTGCTAGTGGAGCACACCATCCAACTGCCATTGGTCGAAAAAGCAAATAGCCCCGTCTCCAAACTGACACTATTGGCTGAGCCAAAGTTGCACACCAAAAAACAAAGAAATGTTTTGATAGTAGCTACCACAAAGCCACAGTGTTTACTCTTTTCATGGGAATCGACTAACAAATGGCTTATTCAAGCTTTCAGTAAGTTTTTTTCTTTAAAATCCAACAACAGCTCTGTAGCATTAGATATCAGAAACCGTGGTAAAGAGCTCAGCTGCACAGACAGGAAGTGTCGACTGACCAGCCAACGACCCCTTAAAAAAGAATTCAGCTGTCTGGAGTTCTCACAAAGAGCTATCAGCGAGAAAACCGACACAGTTGGAACAGGAGGGTACGAATAAATTAAGGAACAACCACTGGGCTGTTAGGGCAGCTTGATTCTTGGTTTGCTCTTCCCAACATGTCACTGGAGACTTCTGTCTGAGCTATCTGAATGTAAACTAGCGGTCGACCGTTTTAATAAGCAGGGTTGAACTATCATTGCATATCTCAAGATATATTTCTTTTTTTCTAATGAAAGAGAAACATACAAGGAAACTCACATTAGGTCGACACTATTTACACCAGGGATTCTCAAATCTGGCCCACGAGATCCACTTTCCTGCAGAGTTTAGCTCTAACTAGAGGTCGACTGATTGTGGATTTTGCCGATACCGATAGCTAGGTTGGACCACACTGGCCGATACCGATTAATTAACCGATAGTTTTTAAAATGGATACTGAACAAAAACTAAAATAGTGCTTTATTAAAAAAACAGTACTGAACCATACTAGTAGTAGTAGTAATAATAATAATAATAATAATAAAAATTTTGAAATTAACACACTCTAACAAGGAGCAATACTTTCATTACACAGCTTTCATTAATCGTAATGCTACAACTGGACTCTTATTTTAAAGTGTTACCATTTCATTTCAATAGTCATGCTTAAAGATGCACATCTTTAAATATATACACAAAGTACATCTTTAAATATATACACAAAGGCTATAGCATTAAAATGATATACATATGGATATTGTATGTATACTCTCATGCTTTAACTGCTTCTATTCTTGAACACTTGATGATTATCTAATCAAAATAAAAGCGCAGCTCTGAGTCTAGGAGAACTCACCGGTATCACACACACTCCGGACGCGTCACATTCAATTCGAGCAGCAGTCTAAAACAGTTTATTTGATCACCAAATGGACACAAGTTTACTTCAAGAATGAATGAACAATTTGGCATGGATGAGTTTGAAATTCGGTGTTTAAAAAACGGAGCAAACGGAAAGAGAAAGCGCGATCTATATTATAGCTTTATAAATGAAGCATTAACAACAATTTGGGACAAATATAATGTAATTTAATGGAAAACTAGGTGAATGGCGCGGCAGGATTTTCTGTCGGCTGCATTTAAATCCGCGTCTGATGTTTCCCGCTCTGTCCAGCGTGCAGTATCACGTGTCTAAACAAATAGCACGTGCTGTCAGTGATTTCAACCACTAGAGGCCGCTCTCGCACTGTGTAATGACAGCAGACCCTTCTCAGCCGCTCCAGCAACGGACGCAACCCGGAAAACTATCGGCATGGATTTTTGCCGATAACGATAGTTCCAGCAAAAAACTACCGTGCCGATTAATCGGCAAAACCGATACATCGGTCGACCTCTAGCTCTAACCCTAATCAAACACACCTGAGCATGCTAATCAATGATTCAGGATCATTAGAAAATCACAGGTAGGTGAGTTTGATCAGGGTTGGAGCTAAACTCTGCAGCGCATTGGCCCTCCAGGGCAAGATTTGAGGAACCCTGATTTACTCCCTACTGTTGGTGGGAATGCAATGACTTTGGCTGATGTCAGCAGGGTCATGACATAAGAAATACAGAGTTATACAATGTAAAAAATTAATCATGGGTCTTGTAATTTTCATTTAAAAAATTGTGATTCAGTGTTGTATAGAAAATATTGAGGACTTTTTACTAATAAAACCAAGTGATGTGTTTTCCTCATTTTTTAAAGGAAGTTTTGGGGCTTTAATTGAGGAACTGATTAAATAAAAAAAAAAATTAAGGAAAGAAGGATACCTATTTATTTGAAGAGAATTAGCTCAATTTTGCAGTTTTATTTTCGAGGTGATTGTTAGTTCCCAGCATGCTTTGCATACAGCTGGATATGGAGAGTAAATGTAGAAATTAAATGCTATTTTATGTGTTTTTGAGTGAAGGGAAACATCTATTAATGTTTAATGTTCAGTTATGTTTGACATTTGAAAGAGTTTCTGTTACATTGTAGTTTCCATTGCACAGTGCAATCGTTACCATTGTGCAGAAGAGTAGAGCTTATGGTTATGGATACTACTCCTCGAAGGCATGGAGCTTTGTTCAATGAGCAGTAACTTTGCTAGTGCTAGTGCAGTTTTACTAGTATTTCTCAAATATTTTCCTGCTTGAGCTGTTTGGCTGTATACAGTCTTTTAAATGTACAAAATAACTCAAAGTCAAATTCAAACAGGCCTCACTCAAAATCACAGACTTTTGAGAATCAACTTAAAATAAATGAGCACATTTCACTAATTATATTAAATTCATTGTGTCGTAGATTAATTAATTTAGGAGATTTCACATGATTCATTCAGGTAGATTCCATTAAAAAATCAAGCCTGAAAAACTACTCAAAAATATTATGTGTAACATTCTTACCATTATTTTTTTTAAGTAAATAGCTCATTCCATTTTTTTACAGTCTACTATTCTCAGCATCAGATATAGAAACTGAAATAACGTTAAAGCAATAGTTCACCCATAAAATAACATTTGGTGAGAATTTGCTGACCCTCAGGGCATCCAAGATCTAGACGAGTTTGTTTCATCAAATCCAATTTGGAGATTTTTGATGGAGAAAGCGATATTATGGATTCATATAGCTGGAAGCAACAACAGTTTGCGGTTAAAAATGTCTTAATATCAGATTTGTTTCATACAAACACACAGCTTTTCACTTCACAGAATATTAACTGATGGACTTGTTTGTGGATTACAGTCATGTTTTTATCAACTTTTTGGACTCTCATTCTGACGGCACCCATTCACTGCAAAGGATGAGCAAGCGATGTAATGCTAAATTTCTCCAAATCTGTTCAAATGAAGAAACAAACCCATCTACATCTAAGATCAGCAAATTTAAATTTTTTGGTGAACTATTCTTTTAATAGGCTACTGTAATTAATAAAATGTTAACATGATATTATGCAAATATTATTAATAAACCTTTGGATGCTGATTGGTCAATAAAGCATGGCTAAATTAAAGGCAGAGTAAGTGATTTCTGGTAGCCAATGTTGATATTTGAAATCACCAAATCAAACATGCCCCTACCCCAAAAGGGTCTCGCCCCTATTTTGATAGCTCCGCCCCACATATACGTATGCAACCCAGGCAACGATTAGTTCTGTGAAACAAAGCAAAACCAATGTAACACCGTGTCTACATCGGACGCGAGCGGTGCGGCGCAACAAATCCCCGACAGAAATCTGCTGCCGGGTTCTATTTATGACGTGCTGACACACATTTCAAATGGTTTTCAACGGTCGTTTGATCGCGTCCAGTGTAGGCAGACTTTAGCTGTTGTAGACACGGTGTTACTCACCTATCGAGAAGAAACAAAGCAACCTCGGCGTCCGATCGCAGGCCTCCGCTCCTTGAGTTCTCTCCAGCGCTGGAAAGCTGATCCGATATTTACACGGGTCCTACTTCTTGCCTTATCGTTCCGCAGACGTTTCCCCCTTTTGTTTTTTATCCGCCATCTCGATCTCTCTGTCGCTCGGCTCGACTAATGTCCGTCCCATGCACTGAACGCTCTCTCCTCCACATCACCAGTAGACACGCCCCTTATTGCTGATTGGCTACAAGTTTGTTTTGCGATTCGGCCCGAATCAGCTTTCTAAAGTGTTTTTGAAAAATCACATACCCTACCTTTAACAAGAGTGAAGGCCTTTCATACTTTATTGCTTAATTCATTTAAAAAATACATAAACTATATTACGTAGACCTATGCATTTTTAACTGCACATTGAATGTATTTACATTAAATTATATCTCTTGTAAAGTGAACTAAGCTCGAGAAGGACACTATGCCAATTGGAATAGTATTACTGTTGTTACGTTTATATTAAAATACACAAATGTTTATATATATATTTAAATTATTCACTTAAATATTGTTTAATTGTATTTGTTTGTTTATTTTGTTGTCTTAATACAACGTATTATTTGCAAAGTCTATACTTTGAATGTCTGACAGCTGCAGGGCTTTTTTGCCAATAGGATTCGGTTCAATAATGTTTAAATAAGGGAGGAGGCGGACAGCAGGCGACTTTATATGAAAGTGGGTGACATCAGCTGCAGATATGAAAAATATAACGGAACAATGCAGCGCTCTAACGTTTTAAAAGAGTCGTGCTGGTTAGGGAATTCAGTAATCACAGTCACATCCGAAAGCAAATAAGCAATGCTGCTCGTTGTGGTTATTTGCAGCCCATCATTCCATCCCGATTCAAGGCACAGCAGCTGTAATACAGTCATGTTATCATATTTCTATCGCTGATTTGTCTTACCTCTGTTGCAAACGCAACTTCAGCCCTCGAAGACCGAGACGTGGCAGGAGATCTAGACGTATCCGAACGACTTCATGTCAGATCTAGAACGGCTCTGTTTGGGTTTGATGGGGTTCAGATCACACCTCAGGAACACTCAATCATCTAATAAATGGAATGGAACTGTGCGACGCTCCCGTTTGTCCCGACACAAAGTAACGCTCTCGCCTTATGCCTATCTCAAAATGTGGAAAGGCCGCTCGAAACGCCGTTTTCCAAACGCGATACAGTTGGGATTTGGAAGTTAACCGCGCACACCTGCATCCTCAAGAGATGGAAGGTGATGGAGAGATAAAATAGCGGTCCATAGCATGCCATAACCGCTGGCGTACAGCTGTGTACTCTGGAGCGCGGATGGCAGGAAATGCGCTTGGAGGAAAGGAGGCGCTTAACCAGTCAGAGTGGAAACGCGTGCGCTGGATTCAACCCTCATGAAGCCTGACGTCATGCTGGACAGCAGAACTTCTAGACTTCATTCTTTAGTCTATAATAGTATTGCATATCAAGACCGGTTCTATTGAGGTTCATGCAGAAATCAAACGTTTCATCAGTGCTCTTTCATCCACATTGTATACAGACATAAACTAAACATGACATAATGGAACAGAATGTAAAAATGGGGCATGGAAATACACCAAATAGTATTCGTTCAGTTTTACTGAACAATAAGGATTGCGTGTTTAACGAAAGGATTGTGTTTGTTTCATGACATTCAGAAATTATTGCATGTATTTCCTTGGACATGCAGCCGACATTATTCTGAATGCATATTCTATTGTCTTTATTATTTATAGACAAAGCGTTGCAATTGTAAGCAGCTTTGTGGCCAGTGTCCCAACAATATTGATTAAGTGTCATTCTATTAAGTTCATTCATTTCCCCGTTGTTTATTAGTTAGTTATACAGATTTGTTCATTTAAATGTACATAAAAAAAGCACAGAATCCCAAAAGAATAGATACAATTTCCATAATCTGATAGGTTATGAAAATATTATTTATTTATTTATGTTTGTTTGGTGGTTTTTGTTAGTTAGTCAAACAGATTTTGTTAATTGTTTCAGAGTACATCAAATGTGAATCCCAAATCCCACAATTGTGTGTTTGTTTGTGTTAGTGGTATAGATTTGTGAATTGTTTCAGAGTACATAAAAAACGAACAAACAAACAAATAAATATGTGAATCCCAAATAATGGACAACATTTCCACGATCTGATAAAGGGTTATGAAGACAGTTAGTTAGTTAATTAGTTTGTTTTGCTTGTGTTTGTTATACAGTTTTGTAAATTGTTTCAGAGTACATAAAAAAGTGAATGCCAAAGAATGGACACAGTTTCCACAATCTAATGAAGGGTTATGAATACAGTTTGTGTTTATTTATTTAGTTTTCTAGCTTGCTTAATTAGTCAGTTAGTCCATTCTTTTATTAATTAGTTATATAGATTTACTAATTTATTACTAAGGTATTTCTGATTACCCTTATGAGGTGTAAAGACTGGAAAAGTGCTTTGGTGCCCTCTAGTGAAGCAAGAAGAAATTTTCCATATGAACATAACTATGTTCACACAAGGTATAGAAGTGATGATTGAAAAACAGTCATGTATTTGAAACAAAAACAAAAGCACCAATATGTTAACATTAATTTAGGAGCTAAAAAGAAACAAGTGATATGTGTGATATGTAGATGCTTGCCATTTATATTAGTGGGATTTTTTTTTTTTATAAAGATGTCAAAAGTATTGCATGTGTTGATCAAAGAAAAGCATTAACAGTAAAAATGGAATGAATAGTGCTTTATAAAATATATTTTACAATTTCATTTGCTCTTGTCCTCTTTGTTCTTTTTTTTTTTTGCAGATGAGTTGATAACTGTAAAATGCAGCTTGTCACTGTCACTATTTACCCAGCCGTAAATAGAGGAGGGGCGGGATAAATACTGACCAACCATCCTACTTGTACAATGACTGTCTACAACAATGGAGAAGTCAATATTACTGGTTACAGCTTTTTTTTTTAGTACAATTCTTAAAAATTAGATACTAATACCTTGCTGCCATGGATATTCCAAATCATCACAACCAAAGCGTCTCAGCTGGAAAAATGCTGTGCCACCAAAATGTTTTCAAGCACTACCAGCTGGTCGTTTTAAGAAGAGCACCGACATTTTTCAGCTGGCTAAAAACTCTTTGGTGGACGCCATAGACTGTACAAAAACATAGACGTAGTGTCCGTGATGTCACCCGTAGATTTCCGAAGAGCGTTTTTGAAGCTCAAAGTGGGCGGAGCGGGCCATCGCCATCTTAGCAGCGCGTCACTTCCGGATAATCGGAAATGGGTAAAGAGGCGGGAGCTGGTTGCTAAAACCACGCCCGCCTAGCTCGACGGCGGTGACAGCAGCGGCGATCCACCTGTCATTCAAGTGGCCACACCCTTAATTATGCAGCACTTTAAGGCTTAATTCTGTCAGGACCACTATCGTCAAAGATGATTGATAATTAGCATACACTTTGGATTGGCGGTATGGTTCTGTTCTGGGCAAGAACTCCCTGCGCCTCCATGCAGCCTAGCATTGATGAGAGCAGGGAGAGCAGCAATAACCCCCCCAGGGTAAACAGAACAGAACCAACATAAATGTATTGCAGATATTGTTAAAGTTCAATCATTTTATGTACACATTTTAGAATTAGTCTGATTCAAGGAGAATCAGAAGACTGAATCCCGACTGACAGAGGAGGAGTTGGGGATGGAGGAGGGTAATTAGCTATTGAGCAATGCGAAAACTGCTGATAATACTGAGGGACCTTATATATGAATGCTTAGATAGGTGTCGTAGTCCCATAGGTAGATGGGGATCAGCTGAAGGTAAGCTGATGCGAGCTTGACTAACGTGACCTGCCAGAACTAACGCTACGCTTGATTATAATTTAAACAGATGAGTTATAAAAAAAATTTACACCCCTTACAGTTGTCATGAAGGGCAAAATTAGCTATATATACCAAAACCACTTTTTGTACCAGGCTGTAAACATGTTTTTTTCTGCTGTAATGTTGGGCATTTTAACATGGGGAGTCTATGGGACTGACTCCCTTTTGGAGCCAGCCTCTAGCGGCCAGTCGATGAATTGCAGTTTTAGTCACTTCCGTGTTGGCTTCATGAGAGAGACCAGAAGGTTGCCGCTCCGTGGACACACGCTATTGAATATTTATTGTTAGGCATATGGCCTACTAGTCTTTTTTGCATTTATGCAATATACTGGAGCCAAACCTGAGAAAGTAGACCAGAATATTATACTGCGTTCCTGGACACGTAATTTGCATAGCTATAATTCATAGACAAGGATTATGCTAATTGTGAATGAGCATGCACGAGCGCCCTATTTACGAATGATTGGAATGCATTAACATACATGTTTAACTATCAAATCGAAAGTTTATTTGTGAATCCGGAGGAGAGTTTTTGGGAAGGTCTGTTTTACGGGCAAATTACTCAGAATTTACTCATATGTACTTAAATTTCATGAATGAGGCCCAGTGTAATCATAATGAAGTACACAGTACAAAAATCATGGCAACACTTTCAATCCCCCCCCCCCCCACACACACACACACAAAAAAGGGTTTAGCAATTGATTTGATATCAATGCAAATCATCACTACTCATGATTTATCATAGTTGAAACAGACATTTGGATTTAATGTAGGCCTAAGGCAGCAACCAATTATTGTAGAGTGAACAAAGACAAATAAAAGCTCATATACCAGTAATGAAGGTGTTTCTGCTGGTCCCCGTCTATGTGTCTAAGAAAGAGCTGCCCCCAGGGATGCCCTGAACAATGGGCCTGCTCTTCGGCCACAGTGTAATATGGGGGTGCAGGACCACCACCTGTTTTTTTTTTTTTTTCTCAGCCTTTTTCTTCGTGGCTGTTATAACCAGACAAACAAATTATCTCACAGTCTTTTTAATAATAATAATAATAATAATAATAATGCATTTTATTTATTATTCGTGGAGCTGAGACAGAGAAAGTTCTACGACCCATAGTTTTTTATTTATATGCAGGCTGCTGAAGAATACACAACCCAGCTGAGCGCAAAGGGCGAGCGGGAGTATAAGGAGCAACTAAACTGGATATATAGGAAGGGGCAGTCCGATGAATAATTTTTGAAAGTAAAGAAAAACTGAGTACGCTCTTTGGCCATGGTGAGCAGCCAAAAGCAGTGTTGCTAATCAGTTATTCTACTATCGATACATAGCCCCTTTTAAACCAACCCATGAACATGCAATTATCTCAGGTAGCTCAACCCAGTCATACTAATCATCAACAACAGATGCATTCGAAGAACCGAATTAGCCAGATCATGATTAGTGCAATGATATAATCTTGGATGTGTCATTTGATCTCGCATGTGATAAGAGACATATGAAGAACTGTCCTGGAGGACCCCCAGCCCTGCACATTTTTTATGTCTCCCTTATCAGACACACCCAATTCAGGTCTTGCATTCTCTTCTAATGAGCTGATGAGTTGAATCAGGTGTGTTAGATGAGGGAGACATACAAAATGTGCAGGGCTGGGGGTCCTCCAGGACAGATTTGAAAACCCCTGGTCCAGGCGGCCATGACGGAGCCACAGCGACGACCCCTCGAGATGGAAGTGGACATCTGGAATGCTGAGGTGGAACTGGAGCGACCAAGGGTAGAGGTAGAGCCTAAGGTAGGATGGAGCTAGCCGGAGTCGTAGAGTGAAGGGACGGTAAATCCATAGCATATGTAAGGCGATGTCTGACCCAGGAGGAGCCGACGGTCCAAGGGAGCCTGGCGAGGCCAAATGTGCGATGGGCTCCACTGGAGTTAAGGGAGGAAGGAGTGCAGGTTCAGGAATTAGGGCGACAAACTGTGGTAGAATGGAAAGATCCGAGTCTGGAGATGGAGCTTCATGATCCCCATGTCCAAGAGGAAGTGGCTCACAGCAGGCCCACGGTGTAACCACGACACTGAGAGGAGGTAATGGAGGCACTGAGGGACTGGTGGGAGACAGTGAGGACTGGGCAGCAAGCGCAGCTGAGAGCTGGGTAACTGACTGATGAGGGACAGAAAAAGTAGGAAGACACAAACACAGGAAAGCATAGAGGTGGTGCAAGACGTTGGTTCGGTGTGATCATTGAGTCACAACAAAATAGACATGGAAGGGGTTAAATGGAAGTTAAAATCCACATCCAGAAACTCACTCTCAGTGATGAGCAGGTGGGTAGGTTTCCAATCTAAGTCTCAAATTCCACACACATACCTTCAGCGATGCCTAGGACAGCCGGCTCACACACCTGGTCAGAAAGACTCCGCTAATGCTCTATTGCATGAGTATG